AAAAAAGTCTGGATAGTGGACGTGGCAGTGCCTGGAGACAGCAGAATAGACGAGAAAGAACTGGAGAAGATAACAAAATACAAAGACCTACAAATAGAAATAGAAAGACTGTGGCAAAAACAAGCAAGGGTAGTACCAATAGTAATAGGTGCCTTGGGTGCAATCCCAAAACAACTGGAGTACCACTTGAACACCATTGGCATTGACAAATTTGCCATTAGTCAATTGCAAAAGGCAGCCTTACTAGGAACTGCTTCCATCCTGCGACGATATCTGTAATACCATCAAACATCCACATCTGCCTATCCCAGGTCCTTGGTAAAAACTCGATAGGTAGACAAAATGCCAAATCCAGTCTGAACATCTGGCTGACACTGCGATGATCAATAATAATGATAATGATAATGATAATAATAAAGTTGAAAGGAACCTTGGAGATCATCTAATCCAGTGGTTCTCAACCTATGGGTCGTGACCCCATTTGGAGTCGATCGACCATTTCACGGGGGTCGCCAAGCAAGGCTGTCCGCCATTTTTTTTCCCTTTTCCGGCGGTGCCTTACCTCCCTTGAGCTGGGCCAGCTGGTGGTCGGCCTGCTCCGTCTCTGCCGCTTGCCAGCTACGCCTCGGCCGGCGCAGGGGGCGGAACCACGCATGCGTGGCGCTCCTGGGCAGGGAAAGTCCTCGACTTACGACCGGCTGGGTAGTCCTCGACTTACGACCGGTTTAGTCCTCGACTTACGACCGGTTTAGTCCTCAACGTACGACCGGTTGGGGTTGCGGCATTAAAAAGGTTGAGAACCACTGATCTAATCCAACCCCCTTCTCAGGCAGGAAATCCTATACCATTTCAGACAAATGGTTGTCCAATCTCTTCTTAATAACTTCCAGTGTTGGAGCATTTACAGCTTCTGGAGGTAGGTTGTTCCATTGATTAATTGTTCTAACAATCAGGAAATTTCTCCTTAGTTCTAGGTTGCTTCTCTCTTTGGTTAGTTTCCATCCATTGCTTCTTGTCCTGTCCTCAGGTGCTTTGGAGAATAGCTTGACTCCCTCTTCTTTATGGCAACCCCTGAGATATTGGAACACTGAGCCAGTCTAATAGAAAAGCTGAGCAAACTGGGGATTTCTCTGTGATATTTAATGTTGATCTTTTTTGGTTTGTAGGAATAGTTTGTGTAGATCCAAGCAATATTGCAAAAATGTGTCCCCTATCCAAGAGGAACTGCACACCCTGCTGGAAAGCTTGGTGAAGAGAAGCTGCAAGCAGAATGACTCTTCAGTAGCCCTCTACTACTTCAGGTGAGTTCTCTGCACAGAGGATGCATGCATGGAATGCCTTTTTAAGTTCTGCTTGAGTACAGGTAGTCCTCGATTTACAACAGTTCATTTAGCGACTGTTCAAAGTTACAACGGCACTGAAAAAAAGTGGCCTATGACCATTTTTCACAGCTAAGGCCATTACAGCATCCCCTTGGTCACGTGATCAAAATTCAGATGATTTGAAATTGGCTCGTATTTATGACGGTTGCAGTGTCCCGGGGTCATGTGATCAGCTTTTGTGACCTTCTGACAAACAAAGTCAGTGGGTAAGCAAGATTCACTTAACAACCACATTACTAAACAATTGTAGTGATTCACTTAATAAATGTGACAAGAAAGTTTGTAAAATGGGGCAAAATCCGTTTAACAAATGTTTCACTTAGCAACATAAATTTTGGAGGAATCGTGGCTGTAAGTCGAGGACTATCCATACTGAAAGATGTCTATGTTCTTATTCTAGAACCTGGAACCTAAACTTTTGAGATTGCAGTTAAGAAAAACAAGATATCTGTTCTCTCCTTTAAATAATAGGAAAGGAAGTGGCCAGTCCTCTGCGAATGCAGAGTTTAGCCTCCTGCGTATATGTAATACTGATTTTTGCTGCAAAGCGTTGTATATTTAACAGCACTTTTCTTTGGCTGTTTCTTCATTCTGCTTTTAGTGGATCATTGTACCTTTTCCGAGTATTGAGGGGAAACGCACCAGCTGATGAAATGGCTTCAGAAGATTCTCAGACAAAAAAGAAAAAGAAAAATCCAGAGGGAGGTGAAGGATCACCTGGACAGGTAAGGGGCTGTCCCATTTACCACCCTTGGGCTGAAAAACTCAGCTCTGTTCTGCCAAAATGGGTATTTTGGAGCTGCCACAAACAAAATGCTTCCTGCATCCCGATGCTCTTCAGCAGTCAGAACCTAATAAGGAAAGGCACCAGCAGAAATTTCCAATCTCATCTGTATCTTGGCTGGATTTGTGAGGAATCCGATACTGCACTATCAGAAGGATGGCATTTTCTCCCTTGCTTTGCTAAATAATATCATTATTAATTTTTAAGCTCTTAATGCATTTCAAGTCTGTTGCTAGCTGCTCGTTTTACCTTGCAAGTCCATCTGCTGCTTCTGTAAGTAATCTTTTCAGAAGACACTATAAGCAAAATGATAAGAGTGTGAAATATTTTAAATAAGCAAGAAGATAGAGGTAATTTTACAGGTATTCCCCAGGTTGTGTCAATCTGTCCCAGCATCCCTACAGTCACGTGATTGTGATCTGGGTGGCTGGCAGCTTACTGTATAAATTAACACTTTACAACAGGTTGTAGCACCCAGCAACCACACAGTCGCCATTTGTGACCTTCCCTGCTGGCTTCCCCAGAAAGTCAATGGGAAAACCAGCAGGGAAGGTTTCAGGTCTCCCCCACTCCACACCCTCCCCCAGCTCCTCCGTACTTGCACTGCGTTGGCCACTTGTGCACTCCAGTGCATCTTCCCTGAGCCTTTTTGCACTACCCTTGCATGCTCCTGTGCACTCTGCCCAAGTCTTGCTGTGCCTTCTCCCCTCCATTCGTGTACCTCCAAGCACCCTCCATGAGCCTCCTCGCACCTCTCTTACACTCCTGTGCACCCACTCCCTCCTTAACACCACCAGGCAGCAACTATCCCATGCTTCACTGCCCCTTCTCCTGCGCCGGTTCATTGCTTTTCCTTTTATCCAGTATCAGTCATCTCAGGTCTTGCTGTGCTTGTGCTACCCTGGTCACCAGCAATCTGCCACACACCCATCCTCATCTGGCAGTAGCTACTTGCTTGCTTGCCAGACTGCTTTTTTGTTGTTGTTAACTGACTTTGGCTGTCAGAGGGAGCTCAGACAGGAAGGAAGTTGCCAGGACTGCTTGTAACTGCTGCAATTCAGTTAATGACGGCAGTTGGCAATGTTGCTAAGTGGTGCAGTCATAAGCATGACTGCATGGCTTAGCAGCAGAAATTCCGGTACCAATTGCTGCTGTTAACTTGAAAGAGCTACCCGTGTGTGTGTATGTGCACCTGCATGTTTTATATACATGTCTGGAGTAGAGCTGTGCAGGTGTTAAAAATTATTTGGATTTTGCACACGTTTGGCACTTTGGTGTTATTTATCACATCACTGTTTTCGGGCTTCTGTGCAAACCTCCAAAAGGTGCCATCAATTTAAAAGTCTTATTAATTTAATGAGACGATTCATTAAAGCTGTGGCATTTTTTTTCAGGCCCATGTGAGGTCCAAGTCTGCTTCTTTCTAATAATTTTTTTTAAACCTGTGACTGTGATATGCATTCTCTGTTTTCACATAGTTTTATTTTCTGCTTTGGGTCACATCTTGCGCAGAGCTATTCTTAGTAACTGTTGAATTGTGGTAAAGATAGATGACTTGCAAAATATTTCATCCTTCACCTTTTTTATCATTCTAGCATATGGAACTTGGCAGTGTGGATCTGGAACGGGTTACTGCTGTGTACAAGGAAGCTTTGAACTTGTTTCTGACAAAGCGCAAGAGCCCACTGACAGGAGCCATGTTTCTTGACCTGTTTGAACGCCACCCGGTAGGTAAAATGCCTCACTTTCCCATTTTCCACATGACTATTACAGGTAGTCCTTGCTTAACGACCACAATCAACTTTGGCAATTTCATCACTAAGTTGCGTGTTCATTAAGCGAAACATAATGAGATTGCGATGGGATAGCAACCTCATTTCCACTTCTGTTGTTAAGCAAATCACCCACGGTCATTAAGCAAGACATCATATCACCATGATTTGCAGTTTTATTATTAGCAGAAGCCAACTGCGAAGCACGTACTTGGCAATCATGTAACTGTGGGATGCTACTGTGATCATAAATACCTTCTGGTTGTGAAGCATCCAAATCTTGGATCACCAGACCATGAATAATGCTGCAACAGTTGATAATAATAGTAATAATAATAGAGTTGGAAGGGACCTTGGAGATCTTCTAGTCCAGGCAGGAAACCCTATA